CCCCAAAACCCCAAAACCCCAAAACCCCAAAACCCCGAATTTGTTCATAAAAATTGATATTTAAAACAGTTTAGTGTTGTTTATTAGTATTCCTCTTCTTCTTTGAAAGGGGTTAGTGTGATGCCTGTTTCTTCTAAGTCAACTCTTAAGTCTATATGGGTAAGGGGATGTAGTTACATTCAATTCTTTCTTGCATCTCTAGGAGGCAATATAATTCTTCTCTTAACAGATCTATGTTGAACTATAAGTTAGAGGGGTAGAGTTACATCTGAGTCATGTTTTGAGAATAACTTTCTCGTATCACGAATCTCTTCCATAGGGATATTTTTAAACTTTTTTTGTTCCCACTTTATACCTTTATTAACCAACTCGTTCAAATTCCCAACGTCTTGGCTAATTTCTTGGATCCGTTCTAGTTCGAGGTCAAGATTGGTGATTGCTTCATGGATAATCTCCTCATCTTCTTCTGAAAAATCAAGGTGTTCCCAATTATTTCTAAATATTATTCTAAAGAATACCTAATGTCTTGGAGAGTTTGTTGAACTCTAGACTCAACAATAGGGAGTTTTTCTTGAATCTCTTCATATTTCTCAATGAAGTAGCCAAACTCTTGTTCCAAATAATCAACTATTTTCTGCATTTTAGTGGTGAACCTTACCTCTTTTCAAGTTTCCTCAAATTTTAAGAATTCTGAAAGGCCCCTTGAGTATTTTGATTGGACTTTTTCAAGATTTTTGATGTTCCTTTCTACATCTTCTGGGCTGAATCCTGTTGAGTCCTCTTCAGGACTGTTGGAACTAGTCTCAGCATTAAATATATCTGCAGAGGGATTGTTTCTAAAGTGTCAAGGATAACTTCTTACCCTGAGAAGTTAGGTTCATGACTTAAGATATCTTCCAGCTGCTCTCTAATATCCTCTGCATCATTACTCAAGTCTTGCAACTTCTTTAGAAAATTATTAGTAAATGTCTCAATAACTTGATTATTATGGAATTGCTTCTGAAATGTCTCAATTTCTTGAGATAATGTTTCGATTTTAGTTGAAATTTCTTCTGAAACCTGAAGGTTTTCTTCAACTTTCTGCGTGTCGATCTTGTTAGTCTCTACACTTTCCTCTTCGATTTCAGATTTTTCAATAATTTTCTCTTGGACCTCACCAGCATCTATGCTATCGATATCTTTTGAGATAGACCGGTGTTTTAGGTGGGGTTTCTCAGCAGAATTATTCTGCTTAGATTCAAACCTTGAGCCATGCTCTTCACTATGATCAACAACTTGTGCATGGAAAGAACCAAAATTGCTATTGTTTGAAAAAGGAATCTCAAGGTGGTCAGAGTGTGAAGCACTCTTTGGATCGAGCTTTATATTTTCTTGCTCAGAAATAGCTCCACTACCTAATTGAACTAAAGATTTAGGAAAGAAACTACCTTCAGATTCCTCTAAATTGGCTTGGATTGCAGGCTCAAGGAGGGTTTGGTTCTTACTTGTATCATTTATACCTTTAATAGTCCCTTCATTCTGTAGCTCACTCATAGATTGCGAGATATGAAGTTCTTTAGTATCCTTAAGCTCATGAGTATAAATTTTATCTTGCTCTAATAGCTGATGCATGGATCCTGATCTTTCGGTTTGTAAGTCTACTTTGGTCTCTAAAAAATCATCTAAAAGCTTTACCTTCTCTATGGTCTGATCTTTGGTAACAGATTTCTCTATAAGACAAATCATTTATCATATTTTTAAATAATGTAGCAACAAAAAATGTGCATTTAGAGGCAAATTCTTACTTTTCCGTACTATTTATGTATCCTAGCATCTTCTTGAGTCGGTGCGGTTCTTAGCACCTTTTGATTACCATCTAGCTGCGACTGGTCTAGATTTATAAGTTATTTAGGTCAATTTCTGGGATAATTTATATGAATAATTTCAAATTTTCAGGCATAAAGGAGAGGTTTCTATGCCTATACCGCCATTATAAATAAATCAACTAGAAAGTTCTTGTGAATGAATATACACTCTAACTAAAGATCCAAGGCTGAGCTGAAGCGAGGGAGATATTCATCGGTGAAAATTAGGTAAGTTATGGGAAGATCTAGAAAATTTAGAAACATCTTTGTAATTTTAGGTTTAGATAGGGAACAGATATGTTGTGAGAAGGGGATTTGGGTCAGAGGTGTTGGGGTAAAGAGGAATTAATGGGGGTTTTGGGTGAGATTTGGATGATACCATGGGGAATGAATGAAGGAAGATTTTTGGAGAATTTAAAGATATTCTTGATGATCCAAAAGCATAAAGTGAATCTTTCTTTACTTGTTTTCATACAATCTCACAAAATCGTCCCCGAAAATTTTTCAAAGCTTCAAAAATCAACCTCCCCTAAAATCCATTCCCATACCCTCAAAATCCATCAAAAATCCCCTATCTCATCTCCAAACCTAATTTCCCACATATTTCTAAATCTTAATAACTCTCCTCCTCCCCACTCCTCTACCTTTACCCCACTCATCTCCTCACCTCTCCTCCCATCTTTCCTCCCTTCACCTCTCCCAGAGCCTTACTCCTCCCATATAATATACCTTTAAATCATGAAAGTCAAGAGCCCATCTTCGAATTTATTTATATCTATTTTCTTCTTAAAATCAGGGGTTTTGGGGTTTTGGGGTTTTGGGGTTTTGGGG